AAAGCGGGAAGATGCATTCCCGTTTCGTTTTTCGAAACGATAGCGGGAATCGTTTTTCTTATTTCTTTGTTTCTTTTTGTTTTTTTTTTGCCCGTTTTTTTCGTTGTGTACGTTGCACGTTCGGGATGGCTGCGCCCGGTAGTCCGAGCCTCGGCACGGATAGCATACCGGTCGGCCGAGGCTCGGACTCGATAGCTGGGCCAGGTACTGGTGGTTTAAAAACTGAGAGCCCTTAAAGACATCTGTTAAAATTGGAACGATACAGCGAAGCTGAGCATGGCTCATTCACAAAGGATGACACATAAATCGAGAAATGGTCCAATTTTCAGTGGGAGCTTCAGGGAAAAGAGAGAAAAGAAAATAACTTCTAATTTCTATATGAGATTTGGGTAAATTTGGACCATTTCTCGATTTATGTGTGTCATCCTTGGGGAGGGCCCGTGCTAATCTTTTCTCTATCGCTCCGATTTTAACGCATGTCCCAAAGAACAGACGGTTCATTTGTTTTTTCTTAATTCATTTGTAGCTTATATTTTGTTTGATGGTTGACTTGCAATTTATGTGAAGCTAAAGTAGCAGCTGCTAACATGTGAGAGCTCATTGCCCTCAATCGGTAGTTATGTCCCAGGTCAGCAATCTGATATCATTCGACCTCCTCAATCTAGGTAATTGTCTGAATGACCAGTTGGCTATCCCCTGGTCATTATAGCCGTATGTACTATGTAGTGCAATGTTTAGGCCAGGTACGGATAGAACGACCAGATGTTCTGTTCAGTGGAAGAAGGTAGTTTCTCGCTCCTTGTCCAAAGGGAGGGGGGGGGGGGGGGGGGGGGGGGGGGGGGGGGGGGGGGGGGGGAGGGAGGGGAATCGATTGTGGAGTTGATGGTCAGGAGTTTGCATGCTGTTTGGATTCCTAATGTTTTCCCAATGATGTCCTTGAAACTGCTTGCATTATTTGTGGCCATTATGTTTTTCAATTAGAGCTTGTGCTTTTTCAGCCAGCTTTTGTGATGAATTTCTCTGGGACTTGGGAAGCGTTCCATATCTGACTTTGAGCTCGGTGTCTTACCAGATCTGCAGCAAATGCCATCAGAATGGTGCCAGTCTGCAGTGCCAGTCCCGGGAGTGTCAGTGCCGGCTCCACTTGCCATGTTCCCAGGAAGATGCTCACCCTCCATTCTTGCACCAGGGGAAATTCATTTGTGCAAAACATGCGACTGATGGCCAGCTGGCGGGTGCAAGCCGTATAGTGGAAGATACCTTGACCTTTCCTTTCTGCTTGTACGTCAGCCCAGTTGATTCCAGTAGCAGGTGGGTAAGTGAGGCATCGGTTTCCCCTTTGGAGTCGCAGCTGGCACAAGCACATGCATCTTTTGGCCCTGACTGGCATGGTTGTGTGAAGAATGATGGTGGTAATGCAGATGGCGGCGTCTCCAGTCAGCATGGAGATACAGATGCAATACCTCGAGCGACCTGTGGCTTTGATCGTTGCGACGAATTCCCTGTCAATGGCGGTGGTGATAACGATTTTAGAAGTACAGGGAGAGATTGGGATGACTGTGTTTGTTCTGCCAAACTCCTCTGGGATGGGCATGGTCGTCGTCAGCAAGGAAGCAAGAACTGTTCCAATGGGGGAGACTGCTCGTCTGTCGGTAAACAAGGGGCTCTGGGGCATTGGCTGAGGATTGGCACAATTTCTGTTAGACGGCGAGGAAATGCAGCTGGTCGTGGGAGGACCAGCCCCTCCAAGGGATGCATTTTTCCTGTGGGGGGCCATTTGGCGTTCCGAGTCCACTGGAGCACGAGAGAGGTTGGTCAAAGGTGTGTATATGTGCTCGAAGTTCAGGAATCGGATGATGGCAGCCAGCCGCTGTTCTGCATCAGAGCAGTGTGGGAGTGGGAGAGGGGGGGTGCCAGTGGGAGATGGATGGGAAGTAGCACAGCAACTGCTTGTGCACGGGTGCCGTGTGCCGGGGAGGAAGGGCAAGACAGAATATTGTCATGTAGCGAGGCAGGTGCCGCAAACCTAGATGAGAAGATGCTGGCACCAGCAGAACTGGGCTACGCATCACCGCGGAAGGTTTCTGCAGCAGTCAATGATGATTACACGCCAATCCTGGCATCAAGGTAGTTTCCTTGGACATTTCAACCCTGCAATCGGCCCATTGGCACTTCCGAGGCACCCTCCTGTGGGGCCATTGGGACTGAGAAGGCCCCTGCGTTGTGGCCATTTGAACTGTGAGCCAGTGGTCGTGGCCTTTTCTGATTGAATGCATGATGTGTCAAACTTCCATCTACCTTACAAGTGATGTTTATAAGTGAACTCTCGGCGGTGCTCGTATGATTCGTTGGCGATCCCTGCATGTTTGTTTGTGGCCATTGGAACTGTCATCCTGTGCTCGGCACATCGGGTCTGCGATGCACCAGTGTTTGATTTTATGAAAGCTCTTGCATGTCTCGGATCTCTCTTTGCATGCTTGTCACCTGTGTTGCGTGCTGGTTGTGATGTGAGTCTTTTACGGCTATCCTTACACCTGCTGTTTGTCGTACGCTATAGTTCTTAGGGTCTTCGTAGCCCATGCGATTTTGACCTAGCATTCGGAAGAGCACTGTTAAGCAGTCATGTTTCCACGTTGCAAGTGCCGAGTCTGCTGACACTGGTCTGTAAGGAGTCACTTGAACCACTCGTACTCCTCCCGAGCACACTTGGTGGTTCGAAACTGTGTTTTCGCATCGCAGGCTTGCATGGTTGATTGGTCGTCTTCAGCATAATCGTGTTTCACTCATACAGCCTAACAAAAATGGTGCTCACCTTGGCAATGCGGCAGCCCAGGCCACAATACAAAAACGGCTAAGACCGCGCTTCTTCTCGCCTCCAACAGCGAGTTGGCAAGGACATCCCCTCCCTTGTATGTCGAATTACCAAGTGTTGTACCTCATACTGCAGACTGAATAATACAGCATACCCGACACGAAATACTAGTATGTACCTACCGTATGATGGTGAGGATGGTAATGATGACGATGATGATGACAGTGGTGGTGGAGGTGAACTGTAGCAAACATGCAAGTCTATCGTAGTGGTGATGTTTACTATGCTTTAGTAAACACTGCTCGATGTGAATGTGGTCATTATGATGATGGTGGTGGTGGTGGTGTGGGATGCATGTCCTCTTACATCATGATAAGGGCGAAAGCATATCATGACCATGGCTCAATGACATGGCTCTGCCATGGAACTTCACTCTCGGGCAAGAAGGGGCATGGGTGCGCTGATAATGACCATCTTAGTCGTTGTCACTATCATAATGACAGTTGGAGTCAGTTATGTGAGGAGGTATCTCTTGTTGTAGGTAAGCTGGCAAATGCTGCATGATTAGAACGGATAGTACGATAAATGCAAGGCCCTACGTTACTAACCTCTTGAGAGTCTAGACAATTCTGGCACGACCCTACCCGGGACGCTCCGGCCCCAAAAGTCAATGCAATAAGGTCTCTGAGGCATTTCCAAGCATTGAAGCTACAGCAGGTCCGAGCTCACGTTGCCAGGTGGCTGCGACCGTTGCAGCAGGGTAGGACAATAGAGATGAGTGAGAGGGAGGCAGAGGAGGTGGAAGAGCAGCAGCTTCCCTCTGTCTCTCTCTCATGTGCGTAAGAGCACTGACAACACTCGCTACCTGACCCTTCTGTCCACGTCCTTTCACTGCATGTGACCGCTGCATTTTATGGGCTTGACACATCCTTGCTCTTATTCCCCTTCAGTTACCTCAAACGGTCAAACCCATAAAAACCACACTTTCACTGGCATATTCGTATGAATGAAGCTGTACAACAATTGGTTGCCTGAGACAAGGAAAGGTAGAATACAGTAGTTGACCGGTTACCTGTATTGGTCATTCTGTGCGTGTTGGTGGGGGGGGTGGGGGGGGTGGGGGGGTCAAGCAACAGTGCGGAAGAGGCATGGGTGGTGCTTGAGAATAGGGTCTGGGAACTGAGAAGATCATGTGGCCTCCACTGGGTCCGCCAGAATCCCTGCAACAATGTACCAGTACAATCGGGGAAGGAAAGCGAGCAGGGAAGCAGCCTTATGCAGAATGAGGGTGTACATCGTGGAAGGAGGGGTCTGTCAACATCAAGATGGAATGGCGGGCGGCAGGTTCATTACGGTGCGTGTATTTTTGGCATGCATGGAGACGAGGTGATCAGCAGTTTTCGACAACTTGGGTGGGGGGATGAGTTCTTGCTTTGCCGATTTGGTGACCGCGACAGGAAGCATGGCAGCAACTCAAGCGGGTGTGCACGGACAGAGGCATACTGCGGTCGTGGAATTGGTAGAAGCGGAATCGATATTACCGCCCGCATGGCTGCCATCAAGGTTGCATGTTTGCAGGTAACTTCTGATCAATCCTGGCGCCAGTTGGAATGAGTAGTGATGCTTAAGATGACGGCTGTCGAAAATAGCTGTCTCCGATGTCGAAAATAGCCGTCTCCGATGCAGAAAAGAAGAGAAAACTTCTGATTAATCCTGCCCACATGGCTTGTTCATGAGACCGTGCTAGCAAGTTTTTTTCCAGCAAGATGTGGCCAAATGAATAAGTACTCAAACATGAGAAGCTGTATCTTAGGAGTCATTCAGTCACAGTTCCCCAAGGTAGAGGGTAATGGTTGGGTGCCTGTTAAGGCTGACTACAAGATATCTGTCTCCTGGCTAAGTTTCAGTGAAATACAGTTCCCTCTTCTCTAAGGTTTTTAATGACTGAGGACAAGGAGGAGATGCATCTGCCTCTTATCATGTAGTATCCTTTTCCCTTCGACTTACTATGATATGTGGCGGTGCTTTCATTGGTGTTAGGCCCTCTCAGCTGGGGGGGGGTGTCATGAAGGGGCTATTTGGTTTTAAGGGAGAAATCCTGGACCTCATCTCTTGCTCCAGGAGAGCGTGATTCTGAAAATGGTTACATGCAGCCACCATTCGGCTCCTCTTCCTCTTCCTGCTCCTTTCTGCTTCATTCTCAACTCATCCTCTTTCTTCTTTCTTCTTCTTTCTTCTTCTTTCTTCTTCTTTCTTTTTCTTTCTTCTTTTTTCTTCTCCTTCCCTCTTCCTTCTTCTTTCTTCTCCTTTCGTTTTTTGTGAAAATTTGTTGGCCTTTCTCCTCCTCCTCCTCCTCCTCCTCCTCCTCCTCCTCCTGCTTCTTCTTCTTCCTCCTCCTCCTCCTGCTCCTCCTGCTGCTTCTTCTTCTTCTTCTTCTTCTTCTTCTTCTTCTTCTTCTTCTTCTTCTTCTTCTCCTCCTCCTCTTTTTCTTCTTCTCCTCCTCCTCCTCCTCTTCCTCCTCTTCCTCCTCCTCCTCCTCCGTCTTCTCCTCTTCTCTTCTCCTTCGTCTTCTCCGTCTTCTCCGTCTTCTCCGTCTTCTTCTTCTTCTTCTTCTTCTTCTTCTTCTTCTTCTTCTCCTCCTCCTCCTCCTCCTCCTCCTTCTCTTCTCTTCTCCTCTTCTCTTCTCCTTCTCCTTTGTCTTCTCCGCTCTCTCTCTCTCTCTCT